GTTGCTGCTTTTTCACCGATTCGACCAAGAGCTTTACATGCCTCTGCTCTGACGCTATCATCCACATCCCCCAGTGCGGTCACCAGCTTTGCGATTATATCATTCGTTGCTCCTTTTTTACCTATCCGACCAAGAGCTTCACATGCCGTCAGTCTCACATATGCATTCGCATCCCCCAATGCGGTCATCAACACTGCGATCACATCCTTCGTTGCTGCTTTTTCATCTATCCGACCGAGAGCTTCGCGTGCCGTCCGTCTGACATCAGGACATGCATTTTCCAGTGCGGTCAGGAGCGCCATGATCACGTCCTTTGTTGGTGCTTTGCCACCGATCCGATCGAGAGCTTCACATGCATCCCATCTGACACTGAAACTCTCATCCGCCAATGCGGTCACCAGGAACTGTATACACTCTGGTCGTTGATTGAAAATTGGTAATCCGAGTATCAATGAGATGACATTCTCCTGTGTGTTTTTATTGTGGGTTTTCAGAAGGGTGGTGAAAGTTTCGATTAGTTCATTTTTGTCCGCTATCGAGTGGCTTAGGCATAAGGCATCGTTTAGGTAGGTGCGTATCTCCGTGTGCTCGGAGTCCACGGCGTAGTGTACGTATTTGTTTATATAATTAATTAATTCGTCCCATTGATTGAAGTTTGTGTTGTAATGTACCTCATCCATGCAAAAAATGACAATTTCCATATGTCTTATGCCAACCATATCTAATGGCTCTCCTAAGATTGTATTCCAGAATGTATCGATACATTGGGGGTTTTGAGTGTTTGCGAGAAGTCCGGATCCAAAGCTCAGCATTAATCTAAAACGTCGGTTGTATTTATGGCGACGGATAAACTCGATCATTGTGTGAGATTTACTGCCATTGAGCGCGGTAACCAAGTACCGTGCTGCAAAATATTCTTGGAAGCTAAGATGTACAAAGTAATGATCTTTTTGTGCTTCAATTCGCGTTCCAGTGGCACGATGATGGGTGGACGATTTTATTAACCCAATATTGAGTAAGTGTGGATAATCGACTAACGAGCATTTACTCTCAGTTTTTGCTTGTCTCAACAGTGTTGAGTCCAAAATTATTACATTCCTTTCCATTCCAAGGAAAGCTAGACTTTCTAAGAATGCTAGTTCCTCATTACACTTTTTATAAACTTCTGTTTCATCCATCAAATCGATGTCCTCTGCTGGAATTCCTTTTTGCTTATCCAAGTATCGGCGACACACCCATTCTACCAATGTATTGTACAGCACAGTCATCGTCATTGTCCTTGTGGTTGCCCAATTTGTATTACTCCAAACACTACAAATAAGTTCCAGATTTATGGGTATGTGTACAATACCCCAGAGCCTAGGGTTTTGTTTGAGAAAGCTTAATATTTTTTCATCTTCAGGAGACGAATTATGTGCTTCACTTCCGATTTGATCGAAGAACTGCTTGGCGTACTTAGAAATATTATCATCTGTAAAGCCTGTAATTTCTAATTGCACAGGGTGCGATAAAGTATTCATGTATGGACGAGATGTTACGATATGATGCGCAGTTTTGAGTAACTGATCGTCCAATAAACTTTTGAGATGTGTAGGTACATTTTGTACGATTTCATCGTAGCCATCCAATAGCCAAAGAACACGACTGTTGTGAAACTGTTTTTGCAAGAGGATTTCATCTTTTTCTGATAGAGACAGGTCTGAAGAGAAATACGCTGTTTTCAGAACGTCGACTGGAGAGTAGTTTCTACCAGGTGGATAGTTCTCCTTTGTTAGATAACGCAACCGAATCAAAACAACTAGTGCATATTTCGGCCAAATTGAACCTGTTGCCCATTGGTAGGCGACGTATCGACAAAAGGTTGATTTTCCAATGCCAGCTCGGCCAAATACGAGCACATTCCTTATCTGATTCTTGCATGTTTTAAAAATGTCCTTGACATCTATTGGAGTCTTGGTGCCATGGATGTTTTCAAACGCATCCATCATCGCACTACTGTGTTGAATATCATGAAGTTTCTTTTCTTTTTCTTGCTGCACTTTAGTTTCTACTATGGCCAAGTTGATGTAACTTTGTTCGATTGGAAAAGATATGGCTGGGTTCATGAAACG